CAGATATCAAAACCACGTATTCAAGGAATACGTTTTCTATACAATTTGTATAGAAAACGTATTCAAGGAATACGTTTTTTCAGAATTTTTTATAAAAGAAACTGTATTCCTTGAATACGTTTTACAATTAAAAAATGGGTAAAACGTATTCACTAAATACGGGGTTTTTATTTTAGTCCACTCTCATTTGATTGTGTCTTTTTTTTTCCACAACTTAATTTTTTTAAATTTTCTGGTAAAAAATTCGTGCGAGTATGATAGTTTAATAAATAAATTAGTTTGACTCGTTGAAGCTCGATTTGACTTCTTCATTTAACAAACTTAAAATCGTAAACAAGTTTATTGTGAAAATTCTATGTACGTATGGGACAGTTTAATAAATCGGCTTGATTCGTTTAAACTCGAGTTGACTTGTTAATTTAACAAACCTAAATTTGTAACTGTGGAAATACTAATTGGTTGTTCGTTCGAAATTTATAAGAAAATATGTAAATAGCTTTCACAAACCATACAAAAGTTCAGTTCGTTTAACAGTTAGGCCACCTTTATCCGTGACCCCCTCCTATTGGGTCAAAGAATTAAAAAAAAAAATTAAAAATTTAAAACAAAAAAAAAAGGAAAGGGTCACTGTGGATGCGCGTGACCCAGGTCACATTGTGACCTCGGGTCGCGACCGGTTTTTTGTATCGAAAAGGGACACTTGTCTCATTTTTATTGCACAAGTGTATTTTTTTGTTTCTAAAAAAAATAAAAAAAAAATATCAAAATTCGTATTTTCATTCTCTAAAAATAGAGACCACATTTGATATATTTTATAACACAATTGTAATTTTTAAATAAATTAAAATAAAATAAATATTTAAGTTGAATTAGGTTATGAATAAAGATAAATTGGGTTGGAAGATTGAGTTGTGTAGGTATAGGAGAGAGAAACAATTTTTAATTGTTAGGTTGTGTTGGGTTGGGTGGGGGTTACTTGGGTTGGGTGGGGGTTACGGATAATCTTATGTCTAGAAGTTTTTGTTCTAAATTTAGGTAGGGGCTGCAATTCAATATGTTAATTTATCTTATGCTTAGCAATTTGTGTTCGAGATCAAATAAATTGGTAGCAACTTGAACAACTTTATATTAAAAGGTCGATTCAATGGTTGAGAGCAGGGCCGTCTCAACAATTTCGAGGGCCCTTGGGCAAGCAAGACACTAAGGGCCCGATAATCTAATTAAAAATTGAATATAACAATTGGAGTATATAGTACTATTTATAAGAGATAACTTGCAATGTATATTTAGCCAATAAAAAAGCAGTACATTTAAGAAGGTAAAACAATAGTAAAACTTTGGATACCTCAAATAAAGCTATGCTTCAGTTCTTTTTAAAAATCTGCCTTCGAGCATTTCTTGATGCAAAATCTTCAAGAACAACATCAAGATCAATTTAATCTAAAATATCTTTCTCAATGCTGCACATAGTCAATACATCTACTATACATGTATATACAGTATACTCATGGGCCCCCCAGCCTCATGGGCCCTTGGGCGTTGCACCAGCTGCCCCCCCCCC